GCTGGTGCTCAATATATTATTGTTAACCTAAACTTGAAAGGTGGCGTTATGGGTTGAATTGCGTTCACCCCCAAATATATGTTGAAGTCCTAACCCCAGTTCCTCAGAATGTGATCTTATTTGGAATTAGGGTCATTGCAGATGTAATTAGCTAAGATGAGGTCACACTGATGAAAGGTAGGTCTTTAATCCAATATGACTGATGTTCTTATAAGAAGAACAGAGAGACACAGCAAAGAGGGTGTCATGTAAAGACACAGAGACACACAGAGGGAAGACAAGCTGTGTGAAAACAGAGGCAGAGATTGGAGTGGTGCTGCCACAAGCCAAGGGATGCCAGACGCCGCTGAAGCCTAGAAAGAGGCAAAGAAAGATTCTTCCCCTGCAGGTTTCAAAGGGACCGTTGCCCCTGAACTTGATTTAGACATCTAGCCTCCAGGATGGTAACATGATAAATTTTCCTTGTTTTAAGTCACCCAGTTTGTGGTACTATGTTACAGCAGCTCTAGGGAACTACCCCAAGGATTATATTAGGGAGGAACTGACTCAAAGACTGAGGTTCTAGAAGAAATCAAGTAACACTTAGAGTTACATGGGGGTGAGTATGAGATCATACAACTCTATCTAACTTCTTTATGTTTTGTCTCCAAATTTTCTCAAACAGAAATAACATAATTTGGGTCCCTTTAAAAGTCCTTACTGTGTGATTGGAACTGCAGGAGTACTGTGGGGCAGAAGCTGGGCAGAAGGAAAGGCCACAGGTCCTTCAGAAATCCTCCATGGCCTACACAGAGGCGGGGGCTAGGAAACGGAGGTTCAGTGATGGAAGCTGGTGGGAAAGGCTTCAGCGGGAGGGCCGTCTTGGGAGGTGCGTCGCCGTGAGCACGGCTTTGCCAGAAACTATGGCTTTTATTCTGTTGCCTTCTGTTTTCAGAACCTCAGTCTTTAATACATACTCTTAAAAAAATGAACACAAGATAATGAAACATTTTTCAGACTCCATTTCTCTGTTAGCCATCCCCACATTTCACGGTAGTAGCGTGAGTTTATGGAGAATAAACACCATCAGTTTTGGGTCAAGTCAAGGTGACCCAATTCTAATGACAGCAAATAATTGCCTTTGTGTAGCTACAGGGACAGGAATCCTCTTGGCTGTGTAACTATTGATCACATTTCAAATGAAAAGTCCACGCAGTAGCTTTTGGAGAAGTGAGTGGGACGTGGGAAAACACCAGCTATCAATAAAATCAAATAAAACTCTAAACAATTAGTACCGTCCAGTTAACTGGAATCCAGTCTGCACTGTGGGGTCCAAGATATATTCTCATGTATTGGCCCACTGAACTTCCATTTTAATGATGGCAGCTTCCAGCATTGAATGATATATAGTAACACTGGACATTTATTGAGGATTTACCACGCACCAGGGACTAGGCTGAAATTTCATGTGGATTATTTGATCTAATCTCCATATCATCCTCATGAGATAGTTACTATATTCTCCCCACTTACAGATGAGGAAACAGAGGCTTCAAGGGAATTCATCTGCACAACTGTTAACGGAGGCAGGATTCAAATGATTCCAAAGTCTTCCTCTTGAAAACAGTGAAATTGATGGGGCTGGGGGATGCTGTTGGTGGGGAACCATTTAATTGCTATAAATTGTTATTTACAGGCAATGTGCTAACAGTCTTCCATATATTAGACCAGGGGTCGATAAACTGTAGCCTGGGGGATAAGTGTGGCCTGCTGCCTGGGCAAATATGACCACATCCATATCTCTATATAGAGTCTATGGCTGCTTTCTCAGAGACAGAGACTGGCGCATAAAGCAGAAAATATTTACTATGTGATTCTTTACAGTAAAAGTCTTCTGACCCCTGTGTTAGATCATTGAATCCTCTCACTAATAGCTCTATGAAAGAGGGATTAACCCAATTTTAGAGATAAAGAAACGGGTTCAGGGAAGTTAAGCTGCTTGTTTCAGAGCAGTGTTTCTCTGACTTCTAAAATGTAAAATTTGTATTTTGTCATAGGATTTCCTTTTTTCCCCCAAAGCTAGGGACATTGGAGAGGGTGCTATATATATATTCCTTCCTTTCATAAAAGAAAAGATATTTTAATACCCAAGAATGAGAGCTATAATTATCAACCATCCTTTAAGTGGAGTATATTTAATTTTATGAAAAACGACTTTTTTCATTTTGCAAAGGACACATGAGAACACAGCCATGGACCAGCATGCGTTTAAGAGCTGGCACTTGGGGGAGTCACTTGCTTAAGAACTTCAGCTAGTGAGAGGCAGAGCCAGAGGACACTCAGGCCTATCTGACTCCAAAGCAGATGACACTTTTGCATCTGTTGGGACGATCTATCCAGCTTTGACTCATGCATTCCTCCTGTCATTCAAAACTACTCATTGAGAATCTACTATGTGCAGGGTACCAAGCTTGGCTGTGTTGACCAAGACTGAAAAACTCAACTCCATCACAGCTCAGTTAACCATTTTCTTATTAGGACAACTTGACCTGTTTGCCATTGGGGAAAATGATCCAAACGAAAATACTGCAACACAATGATATTATAGAGTCCCTTTCTTTTAGTATAAATAATGACTATAATGGCTTTTAGGCCAGGAAGAAATTAAATGATTTTATCAAGCCACTGAGACTGTCCAAACCAGACCTCTGAGTAAAACAGTTTGAACGTCCGTCTTTCTAGTTTCAAGGTTTTTCTATAAGGGATCAGGCCACAGACTGCAAGTCTAAGCCCTGCTTTCCACCAGTAACTACCATCATCTCTTTAATGGCACATTTCTAGACACTGATCTTCTATTACAGTGAACTATCACGAGTAGAGCAGTCAAGCTATTTAAAAATACAAGCAAAAGTTAATTATGTAAAGTGACTATCAAGGCATTTTAAATTAACAGTCATATTCTTGAACAAATGAGAACATTCAAATTATTGCATTATATATAACCATGTAATAGCCTACATTTAAGTATTTCTGATTCTGAACTATTCCTCTATTTTTAAAATTACATTGATAAGATGAGAAGTACAAGGGAAGTTCCAATTACTCCACTGATCTTAGGCTGAATATTTAAGAATGATTAAATGAAACTTACTGTGTATTCTGGTCCCAGATGTTCATTTGGACAAGAGGGGAAAGAAAAAAGAGAGAGAAAATGATGATTTAGACCACACTTATATGCAATATAAAACCACAGAACTAAGAAATATTGCTGAATTATAATTATTAAAAATGTGGTAAAGAAACCTTCCAAGAATTAAACTTTCAGAAACACTAAATGTCTCCACGTTTGCTCTTGAAACTCTTTCATGTGATAGCTCTGTGGTTGGGCAGATAAGGGGTGTAAAACAAGATTCAATTAGCCTATAGGTTTGTGGCTAATTAAAAACCAAAAAGTGCGGCATTAGAGAAGCAGAATTAAAGACTAATAATTCCAGTAGAGCATTTCATTAACCGCAAAGGAAGTCTTCTAACTGGAAACGCAGCTTTTATAACCAATAAGATGAGCTTGATATGATATTCAAGTGGGATCTTGAATTTTCTTTTTTTGTTTGTTAAATGAGGGGGAGATAATTATGTTTATTTGTTTATTTATATTTGGAGGAGGTTCTAGGGGTTGAACCCAGGACCTTGGGCATGCTAAGCATGCGCTCTACCACTGAGCTATACCCTCCCCTCAGGATCTTGAATTTTCGTGCGTTCGAGGGCAGGAAACAAACCTTCTAAATTTTTGCCCATGGTTTCTAGTTCAGTGTCAGCACAGAGTGCTGCTATCACTCCACTGCAAGTGAGAAGGACAGTGACAAAGAATTTCATATTATCCAACTGCAAAGGAAGTAGTTTGGAAGAGAGAGACCCAACAGAACCTTTTATAGTAAATTATAGTCAAGCTTTATTTTGCTGGGGTGAAGCGGGGTAGGTTCTAAAGCAAACAAGTCAAAACAAAAAAACCAACCTGTTTATAAACAAACTAGACTTCAGAATCATTTGGGGATTACTGAGAAAACGGAGAAATGAAGATAATGGAACTTACAGAAATGTCACTGAATAGAGCCTCCTTTCCTTCTTCCATGTGCTATTTACTACGATCAGTTTAAGAAGGAAGATGGAATGAATGGTTTAGCTTCCCCCCCACCACCTCCTGCTAGGAAGAGTGCCGACCTAAGAAGTATGAAGGCAAAGGGTCAGGGAGATATTACAGGGCTCCCCCAAGTCCCTGCCTGGATAATCCAGTCTGAATCCTGCTATGTCCTTGCATGTACACATGTGACATCCTGGGTGTCCAAAGGACTTACCTGTAATTGTGTAGGGATAATAGTTCCATGCCTTCTCTGTAACGTAAAATATTTTGGGGACAACAGCTCTAGCCCAACTAGGCAGTTTGCTAAGAGGAAAGAAAGAAAGAAAGAAAAAAAGGTAATTAGAGTCTGGCCACATGGCCTCACTTCGCTACCCTATCTTTCTGGAGAAATTGACCGCTAGAAAATCAGGGAAGTTCTGTCTCTGCTCTTGTCTCCGCAGCTACCCCTTCCCCATCTTCCTGTTCTTCACCGTAGTTAAATCGTCCTCAGCTCATATTTGTGTGCTCTTCAAATGTGTGAAGGCAGAAGGTTCTAGCCTGGTTTAGGGGACCTCATAGAACTATAGGCCTGTCCTCTTTTGATTTGATTTACAAGGACATGAGAATTCAGTGCTTGGGAGGTGCCATGTCTAGAGGGTTTGGCCAGCCTGGCCTTTGTCTCCTAGGAGTGATATGGTGGAAGTGGTGATGAGGGGATGTTCGAGGCCAAATATGGTGGGACAGAGGCAAACGTCAGAATCAGGCACCAGTTTAACAATCCATCTGAGTGATGTTTTGAAAATAGACTAAAGCAACAGAGAGCAGCAACTTCAGAGACATGAAGAGGAATAAAATCTAGCCCCTTGATGACTGTAGTCAGTTGACTTGTGTCTTCCCTAAAGACATATCCACATGTTATCCCCAGTACCTGTGAATGAAAACTTATTTGAAACTAAAGTTTGTGCAGATATAATTAAGGATCTCAAGATGCAATCACCCTAATGGTGGGCCCCAACACCAGTGACTGGTATTCTTATAAGAGAAAGGAGAGAGGGACTGGAGACACAAATTCATATAGAGAGGAGATGGCCATGTGAAGATGGAGGCAGAGATTAGAGCCAAGGAACATGTAGGGTTGCCATGGACACTAGAAGGTAGGCGAGAGGCACAGAACAGATTTTTCCCCCAGGAGGAACCAACTTGATTTCAGACTTCTGGCCTTTATCCTGTGAGAGGATAAATGTGTGTTGTCTTAAGCCATCCAGTTCACAACACTTTGTCGCTGCAGCCCCAGGGAATTAATGCAGTGACAGAGCCGTTCTTCTGAAGCGGGGATCCAGGCAGCCATTTGCAGAAAACATCCTCAAAACCAGGAAAACCCAAGGGTGCAGGTCCCAAGACCTTTGCTGAACCAAGGACTGATCCAGTTTTGCTTTTGCTCTGCTTCCTTCTGAGGCAAACTACAGCATAATGCAGGCCCAGAGAATCCCTTCAATAGTGTATTTCAATACAGAGCATTATATATCCCTTAAATATGTCTGCATGATTTTACTTCCCCCCTACACTCTATCCTGGGGTTTTCTGTCTTTCTAGACACTATCATTTTGTTTGTTTCCTATTCTGGTGCCTACAGTCAAGTGTCTAGGTCACTGATGTCTAGCAGTACATCAGACCCAGAGAGGTGACGCAGACTCCCAGCTCCTGGGGGCTGCATGTTGGCAATAAAGAGCATCGAGAAGCAGTTGTGAATTCCAAGCTGTTAGAGCCAGGAGAGAGGGGGATGTCAAGCTAAAAGAACCCCAAATCCTCAACCCCTCTTGGACATGGAATTTAAAATGACATCCAGAGCTGTTAAAATACTGTGTTACCTTGTATGTCTTCTCAAATTGTTTCTCTTATTTCTGACAGTCTCCAGGCCCTGCTTTTTAAAAGACAAATATGTATTTTCAAAGGCTGGCCAGACCTAACCCAGTGAAAGCTCTGGGCCGTTTAGCAGGGCTGAAACAAGTGGGAAAACTCAGAGCCCCGCCTGGGGGGCCGTGAGTGTCAGAGGAAGGCCACTGCTCTCAGGTGGGCTGTGAGGGGCGGGCGGAGCGGTTTTAGAATTCACATAACAATTCTTCTTGCTGCTCTAATGCAGACTGTCTCACTCCTATAAAATCCTCTCTGCAGTAACTGCTCATTTACCTTCCCCTCACACTGCTCAGAAGGAAGGGGCTGCTTCCTGACGGGGGTTTTTATAGCTTTCGCCTAGGATTTATTCTGTCAGTCCCTGAAGTTGGAGGGCAACTGGGGTCGCCATCGAGTGGGAAAATCGCATCAGGCTGGCTTGCGGGAAGTGGTCACGAGCACCACGTCCCCCGGGTTCCCTCCCATTTGTGCCCACGCCCCAGGGCGGTAAGCCAGTCGGTAATACAGGAAGATGTGGATTCTACTCACAGGCTTCCCTATGCTTTTAATGAACTGAAACGGGATTGGAGAATCTCCCCAAAGTAAGTGAGGCATTGTTTAGCTTAGACAAAGTACTTCTGTCTCCCCATAAGCATTAGAGCCCTTTCTCCACTTTCCTCTTGGGGGGAGATGTTCCATGTACACCCCACCCCTCCCCGGATTCCCTAGCTCCTCACACATAGCACATTGGTGCCCGAGTCCCCCTCCCTTCCTAACTCATTCTTTCCTCCATCATTTAAAAAGCCTCCCAGTAGAACCATACCTGAGCAGCAATCATTTTTCTGGAAGGAAGATGACAAACACTGGCAAATTTCCATTCATGTTGAGACTTGTCCTATATGTAAATGGTCAGGATGCCAGCCTCTAGCATCTCTATTTTAGCTGTTTCATCCACCAACATATGCAGGATACACAGCACTATGATCAATCACCTTTTCCAATGAGATGCCCTAAAACGTACATTTAGCCAAGATGGCTGATACGATTTTACGTGCCTCTTCTAAATAGTCCAGGAAGGAGGCCTTTCTGGTATAAGCCATTTACCACACCAGGTGCAGGAGGCGTTGGAACGAGTTCCATGATATGCTATTTAAATATTTTTAAGCCCACTACAGACCTTCTCTTAGCCCCCGACTTCCCCAGAGCACATCATTATTCAAATCGTTTTTGTCTGAGAAAGTAAACTGTAAAAAATTTTCCCTGCAGAAATGGTTTATCAGGGCAGCAAAGGAAAATGGAATTAAATTAGTCCCCACTGCTGCTGTCACTCCCACGATGTAGACTGTCACACAGCCTACAATTCCAAGGAGAAGCCTGTCACTCAAACTCACTACCAGGCATCAAACAAGAATCTCTTCTGGAGACGTGGCACAATTTGAAGCATGTCTTCCTGGTCCACTGGCCAGGACCAGACTCCCCAGTAGCCCATCTCCCCAGGGTACAAAATTCCTGGGTCCTAGGCAAAATGGAACAGTTGGTCACCCTATAGCAGTGGTTCTCATTTCAATGGAAAAGGGGTATGGAACTTCTTCCCCCCAGGGGACATTTGGCAAAGCCTGGAGACATTTTCGGCTGTCCTGACTGGGGGCGGGAGGTGGGGGGAGATGCTGCTGGCATCTAGTGGTAAGAGGCCAGGCTGTTACTCAACATCCTACAAAGCTCAGGACAGGCTCCTCCCATACCCCTCCCATCTCAGAGAGAATTATCTGGACGCAGATCTTAACGGCACCGAGGCTGAGAATCCTGGCCCTGGACATAGGTGGATGTAATCACCGCAACCCTCTCCGACATTCCCCAGGTTTCCCTAAATCACAGGGATCACAAGAAGGCCCCACCGGCAGGCATAAACGAAACTGGCCTCAGGTTAAGAACGTTTATCAACTTCATAAAGAGTTTCTGGAACTGAAATCTAAACCATCCCTCCCTCTGACGCTTTATAATCCAGATTATCACCAAATTCTCCAGGATATCTAATCTCACGTTGCAGTTCATGCTCATTTGGGAATATTTTTTGGCTCCAGGAGGTCTTGAATGGCATCAGGCCAAATTTGGTCTAAATGGAGTCTAATTTCATTTTCTCCACAGGGGTCAGAATTATGATGGTCTTAACTAGACACTTTTGGACTTAAACATTCTCAGTAGAAAGCCCTTCCCAGTTCACAAAATAATATTGTTATTTCTCCTGTACTGCACACCTGAAACCAGCCAGTCTGTGTTAAGGTTAGGCTCAAAGAACTGCAGCTCATTCAAATGATTCTTAAAAGGACTATGCTACCTTCGTACCTTCATTTCCTACTGGTCCAAGAGGGATATTCTGAACTTTCGTTTCTTCTTTGTGCCCAAATCTGGCATTTGGCAATTATTTGATAATAATCAGTTGTTCCTATCCTGTTTGTGTACAGTGATTTCTGAGGTTTCTTAAATTTCTTCTCCGCTGCTGGGATTTATTTATTTACTCTTCTTAATGGCTGTTCTGGCTGGTCTTTTCGTTCTGATCTTAATGTAATTCTTTGTATTGCAGCAAAGAGATGATCAGAGCTTCCGGACTACAGCCATCACCTGTGAAAGACATCGCCCACAGGGAGTTCCTTGAACTTGGACACTGCTCTTCCTATAAAAGGGCAGTTTATGCTGAGATTCCGGGGAAAGAGGCCTGCCTCGTGCCGGTTCATAGAAGGCTCCGCGTGGGCAGTGTTAGGGTGATGTGGCAGGTATGCTGGGGAGAACCCAGGGGAGCCAGCCACGTGTGTCAGCACCGTCAGTCAGGAGCGAGGCAGAATCAAGGTGGAAACTGCTTGACTGGACGCTCTCTCAGATTCCAGCCAGGCCTCATGTTCTGTTTCTATGATTTTTTCTTGTGGGAGTAGTTAAGGAGGCAGAAGCCAGGGGGCCTGGCAGCATGCGAACCCCTGGCATGTTCTTAAGGATTGAGTTGGGGACCAAGTAGAATAGCATGGACTGAAAGGTATGTCGGGAAGAAGGCCCTCACCTGCTCTATTTTTACCAGTATATATTAAAAATACTACTAAATAATTGATTTAATATTATATTCAATATACACATATTGAATATATATTTATATAGAATATATGACTAAATATTCTAAAATATACCATGTCCTTATATATGGCTATTGTGTACTGTCTGTCACTCATAACTAGACTGCAGGTCCCACCAGGGCAGGGGCCTTTGTCCTGTTCACTGTGGCACAGCCAGCCAGCGCCTAGAACGATGCCTGGCACTCAGCAGGTGCTCAATAAATATTTTCGGAATGAAGGAAGATCATCTCTGGATATTTAGAAGTCAATAACGACCATGAAGATTCTTTCAAAATAGCACGAAAATAAGCACTTAGGTCAGAATCTCTGGCTCCA